TGCACTATTTCTTATATTTATATGTACATTTTTTACAGTAGAGTTTTTGCAGTAGAGTGTGGAGCACAGTGCAGATGGTGTCATCAGTAGACCTGTTGCTCCTATAGGTGTACTGGTGAGGGTCCAGAGTGTGTGGAAGGCAAGCCTTGATGTGATTAAGCACCAGTCTCTAAAGACACTTCATGATTACGGCGTCAGAGCCACAGGCCTGAAATCATTTAGCTCAGTCACTGGGAACTGGCACGATGGTGGATGTTCTCAGGCAGATGAGGACGGAGCGCTGCAACAGAGATAAGTTGAGGATATCTGTAAATACCTCAGCTCGCTCTGCAGCACAGTCTTTGAGAACACGTCCTGGTTCCCCGTCTGGACCGGCTGCCTTCTGGGTGTTGATGCTCTGGAGAGCTCACCTCAGCGGTTTGCACGGTGAGGGGCTGGCTGTCAGTGTCTATGATGCAAAATCCTGCAGACACAAGATTCAGAGTTTACATCTGCTCCTTTTCTACCAACTCTATTTTTTATTCATATTTCTTTTTAATTTTGTGGTTCACTCACTTTTGTAAATGTTTAAGATGTTCATCAAAAATAACTCAATATTCAGCCCCCAGCAGCAACATATGACACCCAACAACAACCTCCTGAATGCTCTACAGTCTTATCACCGTCAGTGGTTCTGATTGTAGTTGTGAGGGCCATGGACTGCGTTCACAGTGTTTTGGGATTTTGTCTGTCTCTGTACTTTGGTGGGTATGCCTCTGTTCACTGCAGGCTGGGCGGAGCCGATCAGGAGAGACACTCACACGCTGGCAGCTGTGGCTCATCGGCTCATCAGCCGTGCCCTGCTTAAATACTGGCGTCTCACAGAAGACCGACGCCAGAGGATTGTGATACCTACCTCGTGGTATAGTCAGGCCGCTAGCCGCTACCACTCGCTGAGCATTTCTAGCACTTTTGTTGTTCTCTAGTCTCGAGTTAATCGTATGTTTGTCTTGCGTGTTTCCAGTGTTCCTCCTCGGCTCCAGCACTCAGCATTCCTCCGGACACTCCAGCGCTTCGCACCCACAGGACTTCACCACCACGGGCACCTTCTTCGGGAGAACCACTCACGAGAGCACCACCTACGAGCACCGAACCCTGAGCACCGGACGCCTGCGCACCACCCTGGTTTCCTCCTTCACAGCTCCTTCTCCACACCAAGATAACCCCGCGGATATTGGCACTCACGGGCACCGGCTCCTCGTACACCACTCCTGGAACCCTCTTCTTCAGAACCCCGGCTCCGAAGGCTCCACTCCTCCCCCTCCACGGTCTACGTCCCTGCACCGGATCCCCTCACTGGGTTATTCACCTTCCCCTCATGTACAATAAAACCTTTTACTAAACCTTTCCCTTTGTCTCCCCCTTCGTGTGGATCTGCCCTCACAGTCACCGTGCATGACCCGTCACAGTAGTTCTGATAAATGATATTGAGTTACCTGGCTACAGGGTCAAAGGTCAGCCATTCACACAGACACTAAAAGTAAAACTAAGCTCTGAATCAATGATAAAGTGTTAATAAATAAGGTGTTTAATATTTAACTCATCGAATAAGTCCACAATCATTTGTAAACCAGAAATCCAGTCAACACTTTCTTTGTAGTTTCCACTCTCATTAGCACTGAAGGCTGCAGACTTTCTGTTTCACATGGTGTTAATTGTGACTTTGTGGTGAGCTACAAACTATTTTAAAAAAACCCACAACAGAATATTTGAGGAAACATACTGTGAGTATATTGAAGGTTTTTTTTTTAGGTCAGCATCATTTATGATCCAGATTTCATCTAGGAGACGCTGATAAGAGCCATAATGGTGTCAATGGTTTACAGACTGATCAAACTCTGAGCAGCAGTCAGTTGATATGAGCGAGACACCGAGCAACAGGTACGTCCACTTCTGAATTTAATTTAGCTGCATTTCATTGTTCATCTAATTTCTTCTTTTTTTTTTTTAAGAAATTACATTTCCATCCTTTTCAAGAACATCTCTTCTTATTTTAGACAAGTAAGGAGACCAGTAAGTTTATTTTAAAGCCTCAGTAGAAAAACAGTCTCCATAGATCGGACGTTAGAGGCAGCTGAAGGGTGATTACTGTCTAAGCTTTAAACTTTACCATGTTGTTGAACAGCAGTCTCCAAGTTTCACACCAACATGTAGGATATAAAGAACCTTTCATGTTTCATATGACTGCAGATATGAATTTTGCATGACAAAGTGTTCTTTTGTGGCTAAAATATCAAACAAAACTAGCAGCGTCATCATTTGTTGAATCCATTAATGAGCAGTGTTTACCACAACAGAAGTTAAAACCATATTCTAACATAATATTTGTCTGTGTTGACAAAAGTGAAAGTAAAGCATTATTTTTACTGCACAAGTGCTTGGATGGCAACAAAACGATCTATAAGTGACGGATGTGGGAGAACTAGCTGACAGAGAAGATAAGAAAAGCACAGGTTCATCTTGAAGTCTGAGCAGGAATTAGTATAGATTCATCACAAGGCCATTAGATGTCGTCAACTATTTTAATAATTTCTTTACCAACAAAGTGAACAGCTTGAGGTCTCAGAAGAACTCGACTGAAGACTGCTGTAAAATTGTCAATGACTTCATGCATGGTAAAACGTGTCACTTTAATGGAGAGAGAGTGAATCCTAAAACTGTTGAAAAGATGCTACATGGCCTCTTAGAGGATACATCACCTGGCATCGACAACCTAGACGGTAAAATAATTAGAATTGCTGCCAACATGCTTGCAAAACTAATTTGTCATATTTTTAATCGATCGATCGTGAGTGGAACATTTCCAGAACTTTGGAAACAATCAAAAACAATTTCTTTTCCAAAAGATGGAAAATTACCCTTTTCCCGGCTCTAACTGTAGACCAATCAAATTACTTCCTGTGCTCAGTAAATTATTAGAAAATGTGTATTTTTAATCAAATTATGAATTATTTTAATGTCAATGAACTTTTTACAAGAGCTCAGCATGCGTATAGACAGGACCATTCTACTAACACTGCTCTGGCACACATGACAGAGGAATGGTTAATGTCCTTGGAAGAAAGAGAATCAGTGGGAGCTGTGTCGTTGGACTTCATGGTAGCTTTAATGTCTGACCATTGCATTTTAAACAAAAAACTCAAATGGTTTCAAACAGCATTTAATTGGATAATCACGTAGCTCTCCAATCGTGTTCAACAAGTGTTTTTAATTGCAGTTTATCAAACACTAAAATGACATCATGTGGTTTGCCTCAAGGAAGCTGTATGGGCCCACTGTCCTTTTCAATATTCATAAATGATTTTCCGCTGTCAGTCTAAAAGGCTAGTATTGCAATGTATGCTGATGATGCTACTCTGTTTTCTTCTTCAACATCAATATCCACACTGAGCAGCACTCCACAGGATGAGTTAAACCTGGCAATGAAGTGGGTGGAAATGAATAAATTAGTGCTAAACACATCCAAAGTCAAATGTATTGTATTCAATACCAGGTGTGTTCAGACAGGTGCAAATGCTCTTTAACTGTCACTAGAGGGAGCACTAGTGGAGCAGGTCTCAAAAGTCAAGCTGCTGGGCATGAGATTGGACCAGTCAATGTCTTGGTCAGATCAAATCACTCTTATTGTCAGCATGATGGGCAAAGGTATGGCAAAGAAATGTTCTGCTTACTGTCCAGCTCCTGGACTGAAAACTGTTGTTCAAAGCCTTGTATTGTCTCACCTGCATTACTGTCCTGCAGTGTGGTCCAATGCTACACAGAGGCATCTAAAGAAACTCCACATCACTCAGAACAGAGCTGCTAGAGTTGTGCTCCACTGTTCTTTTCTAACAAATGTGCATGAGATGTCACAATTTCTTGACTCGCCTTGTGACCTCCAGTACTTTGGTCGTCTCCAGGCCTAAAACCAACAGCATGAAAAGAACTATTGTTTGCAGAGGAGCAAAAGCATGGAATTCACTTTCTTTACATATCAGAGACACTAAAAAATAAAGGCTCTTTTAAAAGGAAAATAAAGGGACAATTGATACAGAATACGTGAGAACTCTTCCTCTGTATTGGTGTTATATTTACAGTGTTGTATCAACTTGCATTGATTATAATCCATTTACTGCTTTGCACCGGGTTGCATTATAAATCAAGTGTTTGCTATTTATTATGTATTTTTAATGTTTTGTAAATTGTAATTTTTGTTTTTACCCTAGGACCCCAGGAAGACCAGCAACCACTTTGTGGGACCTAATGGGGATCCTAAGAAAGAATAAAGGATATTTTTGACTGGACCACTTATCTCATCTAAACACCAGTTAAAACTGTCTTGTTGTCATGGTTTCCACTGTGTTCATGGTTTCTGTACATTCTCAGAGCTGCAGGATGTTTCATCAGAAGACTGGATTGTTGCTTCAATCTACCATCACTGCTCTGCTCTTCTGTCTTCTCCAGATGCACTATTGCAGAGGTAACTTCCACACAAATACAATCGTTTTAAAATCCCTTCACCCTCTGGACAAAAACAAATAAAAATAAGGATTAGATCAACATTCCAAAGTGAAAAGACTGAAAAAAGCTACTTTGTCTCCCAAAATGTACAATTCTATACAACTAAATTGTATTTTAGCGATAAAAAGCCGAACCAAACCGTGTTTGTAACAGACTGTAAACATGTTGATTTCTAATCTAAACTTAGGGACTGACTCACTTATGGAGCCTCAAGTGGACATTTAAGGAACTGCACTTCACTGTTGGTTTTATTTTTTCAGCCTCAGAAGTTTGCTGCTTGGTTTATGCCCATTAATGAGGATGAAGGTTGTAGAATGTGGATGAAGATCCAAAGTAACCACAGAGAAAACTCTACATGCATTTATGTTTCACTCCAGACCTGGAGGTCGTGTCAGGGTTCAGCTCCTTCTGGTTGTTACTCAGAAACTAATACAAATCTTTTCTTTCCAGGTCAGTCTCAGGTAATCGGTCCATCTCAGCCAATAGTGGCAACGCTTGGTGATTCCATCATTTTACCAAGTTATCTGAAACCTGTATACGATGCTATGAAGGTGACGGTGGAGTGGGCCAGACCTGACCTGGACCCCAGATTTGTCTATGTGTCACGTATCGGTCAGGACCTTGAACATATGAAAAATCCTGCCTACAAAGGGAGAACATCAATGTTCATTGATGAACTGAAGCACGGAAACATTTCACTGAAACTCTCCAAAGTGAAACAGGCTGACGCAGGGAGATACAGATGCTTCATTCCTGAGACACGAAAAGACACGTTCATGGATCTTGTTGTCGGTAAGTAGATCTAGTGGTTAGTGAATGTGTGCATAGTTTTCACACAGCGTTCAAACTTTGATATTAAGCTGTGCATGTTTAGACAAGGCAGGTGGTTAGCACCATTGCCTCGCAGCTAGAAGGTCCCCGGTTCACGTCCCGGTGGGGACACCGGGATCTTTCTGCGTGGAGTCTCCATGTTCTCCCCGTGCAGCGTAGGTTCTCTCCGGGTTCTCCGGCTTCCTCCCACAGTCCAGAAACATGTTGAGGTTAATTGGTGATTCTAAATTGTCCGTAGGTGTGAATGTGAGTGTGCTTGGTTGTCTGTCTCTAAGTGTAGCCCTGTGATAGACTGGTTACCTGTCCAGGTGAACCTGCCTTCACCCTGAGTCAGCTGGGATAGACTCCAGCCCCCCATGACCCTAGTGAGGATTAAGGTGTAGAGATGATGGAGGATAGATGTTTGGACAATAAACGTCTTCTCAGTTGGTTCATATAGTACATGACTGTTAAAGCAGCAAAAATTATGACTAGAAAGCTGAAAATGTGTCTTTAGAGGAAATCATTTTGAGCAGTAATGTTACCTCATGTGTGAAAAGGGTTCAAGTCACCTTTGTTGCTGTATGAATCCATGCATTCATTGGTGTATTTATTAGGGATGAAGCACATGAATAAACTTTGCTCTGAAGACACCAGAGTCAGGCAACATGTCATTTCTTTTTCTTGGTCCGTAGACAGAATTAGAATTTTTCTCTTGTTTGTTTGGTTTGGGACGACAAAGAAAAGGTGATGTGTGAAGCAGAGCTCCTCCTGTAGCTCCATACACATTATAAGGTTTAATTCTGAGTGTTTTAGATTCAGTGTATCACGGTACTTTAAGGTTTATCACCAATTTTAGGTCTTTTACTCATTGTTTGTTGTACTCTCGTGTTGGATGGTCGGATTTGACCACACGAAGGAAAAAACACTGGCATATGTTAATTTATAAATGTATTTTAGGCTTGCTTCCTCATTACTTACAGGTTTTCATTTGTACAAAAGCTCCAAGTGGTTACAGTCTGCGGTCTCAGGATCTGTTGCTACTGTCTGTTCCAAAGGCTGGAACTGAACGAGGAAAGAAAGCTTTAAATCCGCTGCTCCCTCGACCTGGAACACTTTACAAAAAGACCTGAAACTATAAGAGCTGGTCTCTTTAAACACTTTTGAAGTGTTTATAAATGATTTGGAGGCACAAACATCAGTCTGTAGATGTTTTGAAAGATAATTATTTTGCTGGTTATGTTTCTGGTCTCTGCTGATATGTTGATTTCTCATCTTCATAATATAATCTCACCGTGTATTATGAGTAATGGTGTCTGTGTTGATGCTGTTGTGAGCTTGTCTGTTTGTCAATTGTGCTGCTGCTGCCTGTCTTTGCCAGGACACTCTTGAAAAAGGGTTTTTTAATCTCAGTGAGCCTCTTCCTGGTTAAATTAAAAAAAAAAAAAAAAAAAAAATCATTGTCCACAATGTCTTTGAACTTCCAAAAGTAGCAACCAAACGCTGTGTACCAATGCAGGAACTTATGAGGTCGATGAACGGCCTGAACTTTTGTGTGTGTTCCTACCACCCCAGTACAACTAGAAAACCATTTATTCTGGTGGAAAGCTGACGAATGAGATACTTGAAGGACTGAAACCAGTTTAGGAGCCAACAGAGTCTGATGGTCAAATGTTTACAAGTAAAAAACTGATCTGCTGCTTGAAAGTTCAGACTAACGACACTGAATGATTATAAAGAGGCCTGCATGACATTATTTTTAAGACGTTTCATTCTTTACCAGATGTAATTATGGACTCTACATGATTCATTTGGTGACTGACTCCTGTTTTAAATGTGTTTCTTCTTCAGTTTCAGGAGCTCTTCCTGCACCTGTCATCACTTTAGAAGGGACTGATGGAAAAGGAGGAGTGGTGCTGCAGTGTGAGTCTGCAGGCTGGTATCCAGAGCCTGAGCTGTTGTGGCTGGACGGTGAGGGAAAGCTCCTCTCTGCTGGACCTCCAGAGACAGTCAGAGGTCCTGATGACCTCTATACTGTCAGCAGCAGAGTGACTGTGGAGAAGAGACACAGCAACACCTTCACCTGCAGAGTCCAGCAGAACAA